TCTCAGTGGGTGGTTCGTGAAACTTCTGAAGCACCGTTTTACATTGTTTGAGAAGAGCGAAACATTGTTACGGGTAATGAGATTTGAACGGCCATTTTGAAGCTCTCCAGATTCATGTAACCGCGTAAGTTCATCTTCTGTCCACGGAATTTCTCACTTTAATTGTTACAATGCGGCAGGTTTTGAAAACGTAAGCAATCAAGATCGAATGTTCCTGATAATTAATAAAAGAGAGTTAAGGAAGTAAAATATTAAACATTTTAGTAATTTGTAGCCTTCCAAATGTCCATATATATATATATATATATATCCTTTGTCAGATTTATCTACAGAGACATCATTGGATCTTGTCAGATATAAGATATTGTGATGTGACGCCAAATGGGCAGATGGCTCGCACTGGAGGGGTGGGCCTGCCCTACCCGTCTCCTTAACTAGCGGATGTGGGATATGGGTGTGGCCATCATGGAATGTTCCAGGATGTAGTGTTCCCTCGCCAAAAGCAAGGTTCAGGTAAGTGAACATGGGAGATCCTTGGCCTGGAAATTTCAAAGAACAGACTGCCGCACATAAAAGTCACCTCTTCGAGTGCTTATAGTCCAGCGCGGGTACACCGTGTCCCAGTAAAGTGAACAGTGGTGGATGTGGGGGAACTAGCGAGATAGTGAGAGCGAGAAGCCATCGAGCAGTCCAGTATGGTGCTGAGAGCCGAGGGCTGTGTTGTGAATGGTGCCAAGTTTGGGGACCGGAACAGCTCAACAGACAGTATTCAGGGACAGAACTGAGGTTGTGTCACGTACTTGAAGAGTTAAGAGTCTTAGCAACTGTTTTGTCCAATTTTCCTGTGTGTAGACTACCGTAAATTGATTGTTAAGTAAATCATGGTTGATATATATATATATATATACATATATTATTTTATTTTTTGTGAAATCGAGAAGAGGAGATGAACGTGGCTTACAGCACGCATGAGGGCGATGAGAAATTCATGTACAATTTTAGTGTGAAAATTTGAAGGTTTTATAAATTTATGTGCGGATGACAGAATAGTGTTTAAACGGGCCATAGAGACTTAAGGGTTGCTAGGGACAGAAGCCACAGTCGGACGTTTTGAACAAGAAAATTATTTTTCTTCAAGAGAGACTCTATATAATGAAGAAATCTCTTGACGTGTGTAACGGACAAACTTAATGATTTTAGAGATAAAAGTTGCGACATAATTTAAAATTTCTAGCCGTTGTCACGGAACCCTTAGGAATCATCACGTGTCATTATTCTGGAAGTCCGAGCTGTACTCTGGAGAGTGTGTACTATCATTGGATACGAGTTAGCATGTCCTTTGGTTAACGTGCATAAATAAACTTATAATGAAGTGATTGTATATGTGTCATCGAAACTAAAGAATTAATTTAAATACTCGCTAAGTTTTGTAGTGGAATTCTATGTTAATACTCAACCAGTTCAGTTTCGCTTCGTATCGATCAAAATTAAATAATACTTTACGTGAAATTAAAATCGAACTTTATATCTAAATTTTAGCTCATAGGTTACATTTACCATATTGACGAATATTTTCAAATAAATATTTTAGATCTTAATGAAGTCTGAACTCAGTACCACGTTGTCTGATGGACACTTTCGATGTCGAACCGATAATTTCCAGTTGATCATTATATTGGACTCGTTTGTACCAACATTAAATGCACATCTGTGACACCAGGATAATAAATTTTTGGATTTGTTATGGTTTTATAGATTCAACGTTGACTGACAGAAAGAAACGTTTTCGTTTTATGCATAGAAAATATAATTTGCAGGTCTAAGTGTGTTCCTACTTGCCTTGTATTAATTGTTTGAGCAGTGTAATGCTGGTTGCCTACTGCTCTCCCGAATAATCGTGCAGCAGACATAGGAATTAACATGGGTTTTGCTGTAGCTTCTAAATGAGATGAAACTATGGTCTTGAAAGAGAAGGCGAATATTGCATTCACTTCATTAACCAGGTAAATTAAACCTGAGTTATCGGGGCTTGCAGAGCTCCACAGCCAGCCACCTGCTTGCCGGGGTGGAGTGGGGTCGGACTTGACGAGCGTCCTCAAACTTTAATCTGTTTCGTCTGAGAGTATTTGGATAATGGAAAGTTCTGCAATTTCACTCATATGACTGGCAGTTATAATCAGTGTTGTCTGTCAATGACTTGATGATATCGTCATCGAAATAGTCCCATCTCATCAATATTAAACTGACAATCGGATGGTATATTTTATATTTGTTACCAAAACAACGGTTCAAGTGTCACAATTCAGTTCACATGTAATAAAGCTCGAAAAAGCGTCTCAAATGCTATTCGCCCTGATGATGGAAGCAGCAAAGACCTCTGAAACGTCGGTAATCTTCCACTAGACTACACGGTGCCACAGCCCAAAAGATGGCTGTGCTAATTTTATATATATTTATTTATTTATTTAGGGCTATTTGTTTATTTGTTTAAATCTTGTCAGTCTAATCATAATAAAATTCCTATTAAATATTAAAATATTACTATAATTAACATTTAAATATTTAAAATATATTAAAATGATGTTCTCTATCGAAATTTTCGATTTACAATTAGAACATCACTTTTCACACGACATGTTTCAGTTACGTTTGGTTTAAAATTTTATATCAAATCCTTCTCACTAAATTCAATACACACACGAAAGCCTTGTATAGCATTACCTTGTTGTTACTATTTGAATAATAAATGGTCTATTGTCGATGTCTAATATCTTAACAGTGATGAAAGTGAAGACACTTTGGAGGAACTCTGTAGGAATTGAAAGTAAAACTTGAAATCGTGTTGACTTTTAGAACACTGAGGCCTGATCCTTTGTGTCTATACACACATTTAAATCGGTTTAACGCCCCATTTACTAAACTTCGCATGACACGAGAGTAAATATTTTGACACTGCCAACATATTAATATTTAGTTTTTTTTAAAAAAAATTAGAAACTTTGAAACAATACCGTAGTATTCATATAGGCACTGACGATTGTGAACTTTTGCTCTCGTAATAGACTCACGTCAGGCATGTTGCTAAGCCAATTTCTAACATATTTCTTACATTTAGTCTGTGGATTATTTAACAATACTGGAGGTAGTTTGGATTATATAGCATAGTGTGATGTGATAATCACCGATTTTAAGTGATCGTTGTCATAATTATTATGATTATTATTAGTTCCTGTGTAATCCTTTATGGTTCTTGTTAAAAGAAATTCGAGGGATAATTTCATTCTTTTAAGGATGATACCGCAAATCGCCTTTGTGAAAAGACATGCTAGTACCCTTTCCATAACAGCATGTACCCTAAGCTGTTTAGTGCACTGAAAATTATACGACACAGACTTTATTATCCTCGTTCTGTAAGTTATTAATCTGGCCACTAGTTTGAGAATCACGCCTCGAAAAGGTCTGAGTTCGGTGGAGTGTGTCAGTAATCCACAGAGCGTATTGTTCTCACAATGCGGGATATGGCAGTGTCTTAATCCTGTCGGGGTTAATCGCTTACATCGTGCTGTGAATTCCCCTGTTACCAGCATTTTTGGCATCCCTTACGAGGAAACCTGCTGGGACAAGGGTTGCCCGCCAGGTGGTGCCTCCCTCGTCCCGCGTCTGTCAACAAGCGCTCTGTGTTAAGAGTTTGAAAAATATCATAATACAACCTCCCGCAAGATGGAATAGCAGGCAAAATGCATCTTTTCTTAAGTTTCAACAGACCCGTCACGTGTTATAAACATCCGGCTCGGAATAAATAGACTATTACCAAAACTGTCATGACACGGTGTGTGGCCTATAACGGCAGGTTGGGAATGATGGTTTATGCCCACACGAAGGAAGGACCTCTCATCCTCTCGAAGGTTTACTGATTCCAGGGGTAGTTTAATGCCTCGTCGATTATGAGGCTTCAACTGGTAAGAATTAACTCTAAAAAAATGCGAATGGAAATGGTGGATGTTTATTTTAAGGTACCATCAAACGATTTTCTTGTAAGTGGTAACTGAAGAAAAATACGAAAAATTTGAGGTCACGATGTCTCTCTCCACGAATACAAAACATAGGAGGTGGACAGAGTTTTGATGCAAAATATAAAGCAAGTCACTAAAAAACGGGATTCTTAGACACCGATTACCACTAATCGATTCTTTGTTTTTAAAGGTCGATTTTTTCTCCATTATCGACCATGTTATGAGTAAATATGAATGGGCATGTCATTCAGCATCCTTGGTCTTTGTTTAGTTTAGAGTTTCTCTGTAGTGACTGAGAAAATTCAACTCATAGTTAGGTTAACCGGTCTTGCAGTCGAAATTCGAAACCACGACCTCTTAATTCGAAGTACGTGGCTTTGGAGTTCGAGGGTTTTTATATAATTTATGTAACGTAGCTCCCAATGAGTGGGACTTGTTGCTTTGTGCATCTGACGTGAGCTAACGCGGTGCTCGAAGTCGGTACTGACAGATTGAAAACAAAAGACTACCTAATCGCTGCTATCTCGTAGTTTCGCACGCTGTTAACAGGTATCAGCACTGCATCGGTTGGGCACTCAGCTGTTAGTCCACGGCGAGCCGTGGCTGCCTCGTCTGTGCCTGTGAACTTCAACTACATGGACGTTACGGTCGTTCGAAATACAAGGAAACTGACCAATAGGAATATTATTCGTATTGTTTTATCATTCTTCTCTGTGACATTGCAGTTATACAGCCAACGTTTCTCTACGAAAAATGTTATGCTGATGACGTATCTGTAAACGTACGTCTTTTTTTAGTCAAAGCAAACTGAGAACAAATGAAATCGATTCATGTATCGCACAGGTACGTGTGTATGTTCAAATTCTAGTCGATTCGGTTGTTGTTCGCCTCGCTTTTCGGATAACTTCGTTTCGTGTTCGGTTGAGGGGTGGTTTCTGGCGTCGCGGAGGGGTGGTTGACTCTGAGCCTCATGTCTGGGCCGGCGCACGTCGCCACTAGTCGGGAGGCGATCGCTCGTAGCAGCGCGAGGTGATGTTCAGTCTTTCTCTGGCTCAGTAGGCCATGGTGGCGCGCGGAGAGAGCATGTTCGGATGTTACGATAGTTACTCTTATCGACTGTGGAGCTTGGCCAACGTGTGGAGTCAGTGTGAGTACTGATTATTCTGTTAAGTCCGCGGAAACTTTTAGCATTCTAGGACACAGCCCGAAACATATTAATTAACGACTACGTCAAAATTGAAGTATCTATCAATATTTTTGAAAACAAAAAGTCATCTTATTCAGTCTCTCTTACGTATTATGAATTTCACGGAAGTGTTTAACTGTGTGGTAATTTATAACGAATGCGTCATTCTGTTTGAAAATGTTTAAAAGTCGGGTTAAATGTTAACTTTAAGAAACCTGATTTTGTATTATTCTGTCTTTTATCATGTGTTTTATTTTTTTATAATTGCGCAAAATTGTTTATGTGTGGTTGTGTTTTACATAAATGCATGAAGGGAACGTTTGCAAACTGAATTAATAAAGACATTTATTCTCAGAAATTAATAACACGAAGTATTCTGGACAGATTATATTATATCGTCATGCAATTTCTTATAACGAATGTATTGTATGTTATGTGTTTCTTAATTCGCCGTTGACATCAACTTGGCTTTTCGTTTTTACAAATTACGAATTTTAATTTTAAATTTTGTAATTTAGTCGGAATTAAAATGTGATCCAAGGTTAAGTGTGTTTGATATTTATGCAATGTTCTTGGTATTTATTAACGAAATGTTGACTTCTCCTTTTGTAATTTAGTGACCTGATGTCCCAAGTTATGTTGGAATTGTGCCTAAAGATCAGGATTTATTTTCACAGATGTAGTTTTATTTAAAATCACTTATATTTAGGTTTTTTGGTACTGGTGGTTCAAAATTGTGTGTAAACTGTTCTGAAATACCTTGTTTAGATGTTAATTTCATAATATGAACTTCATATCCACCGAAACTCAGTGTAATTTACGTTAAAGTCAAATATATATCATTACGCTTGTAGTATGCTATTGTGCGGTGTGTTTAATTATTCTGACGGGTAGAAGACCGTTTTGGGTATGTCATACAACCATTATAATATGTGTAATTGCTATTTTCAGTGTTTTGTAGAGGTATTTAGGAGATTATTTTAGCAAACGTACCGAAAATATAAACATACTTACTATCTTAAAAGAAGGTTCAATATTTTCATTTATAAACTATCAATATTTACTGTGCAGTACTGAAAATTAAGACGCAGACTTTCATTTTCTGAAGTAGAGCATATATTTTTCTCGCATGTTTATTTCTTCACAGTTGTATTCGTATTCCATTCAGGTTTATTATTTAATATACCAGCATTGTGGATTTATGGAGATGTGTTTCAAAATGAATGATATGGCGTTAACATTTGTCTGTCTGTATAATGATGTCACCTTTTAAATGACGTAGGCCGACGTATGACACTGTGATCCTTAAATACACATCACACGTAATTTTCGAACTCTTGTTTTAACAAATTTAATATTTGAATACGAACCTTGTTCTTTGGAAAATGTTAAATCATAAGACTGTTGAGATTGAATTCAGAATGAAATACAGTTCAGTGTTAGAGCTTATTTTACTGTAGATCTCGTTAAATAATGTGTTCAGCATTGCTTAGAAATGAGGTCTGTGTCTTAATTTATTTGTAAGCCTACATTAATAGCCTAATTGAAATTCGTCAAATGAGGTAATTTATTACTGACTGTGCATTTCTTGTGTATTCATTGTTCAAGTTGGTAGACAGGTAAATTAATGAAGAACAAGTTCTTTTGTACAGATTATGGGTTGGGAATTATGTTTTTTTTTTGTAAAGTTTTGCTGTAATTATAATGTATTATGCTTTATATGTGGTCTTGTTGATTAGACCAAAAGTTTTGAAATTACAAAAAAATTAGATGTGGTTTTGTTTGAAGATTAAGTCGCTCTCTCTGTTTCAACAAATTGAATCCTGAAGGTTTTTCGCAAGATCTCCGTTTCTGTTTACGTCTTTAAACTCTTAGTCATGTAGAACGTCGCGTGTTCGATACCGCACATAACCGCAAATTCGCTTTAATGTACTTGTTGGAAAGATTTCGTAATTCTTAAGATCGTGCGTCATTTTTGTGAAGTAAAATTATGACCTTAATAACCTTTTGGCCCGTATCTATCTTTAATATCGATTATAATTATGACAATTTTACCTGCAATGCTTACGTGATCATTTGACCTAGGGTTGTGTGTTCTTTATC